TTCAGAACTCAGAGTAGTGTTAAGAGACACACAAAATGCCCAAACTTCCAGATTCCTTTCATGAGCGCTCTATGACAAGAAAGATGCCTGTTTAAATTTACCACCTACAAGGCTGCATTGTTGCTAATTGAATCTCAATAGAGCTAGGTTTGAAGTTTTGAAGTCAGATTATCACATACCAAAAGTAATGGCTGTAAAGTAATTATCCAAACACCATAAAGCTAACACTGTGTGTTATATATATTTACAGTGAAAGATTATCTGGATGCCAACATCGTATATATCACTGAAGATAGAGGCAAGCAACAAAACAATATTGCTCTCAAGACATCCATGGAAAGTCATGAGAGTAACTTGCAATAGGGAGGCTCAAAATACTCGTCAATAATGAGTGCATAAGAATAAATTGTATTTAAATTGAAGCACTCAAGTGTTTTATTCCAAAGACCCATCAGAATCTGAAGTCACAAATAAATATCCAATGGATCTTGAGGAACGCAAGCTCAAAGAGTGATTCACAGATTAATAGTACATCTCAACAGGCGTGTTAGAAACCAAGTTTTTATGCACTAGAAATGTACTTCTTTACCACGGTGTTGGGGAATCCTGGCAAAGGATTGAATCTGAGGCACTTGTTAGTGGATACATTTGATCCGTTGCATTATAATTTGCAATGTACCCTGCAGGCTAACCTTTACTGACCAAGCATCCATTTGCTTGAATTTCTATCCAAACATTCTAATTATTTCGTCCTACAAACTTTTTGTATTTATTCTGCATTTGGAATAGCACATAGAAACCTACAAAAGGTGAAAGGCAAACGTTTCCTCACCATTTGCATATTTGTACATTAAGTGCCACTTTACATAAAATTACATAGAGTGACAAGCACCAAAATAGGACATTCATCTAACTGGATGATACCAGTTGGATGAATTACATGTGGACAAATTATATATGGACCATACTGTTCCACATGTGCCTCGAGCCCTCCAAATCCCTATCCCCTCCCATTCCCTATATTTCCTATTCTCTCATGTATACAAATGCGTACACAGAGTATGCACAAGGAAATATAGGTGCTATTAATTTTGTAACAACCAATAAACAGGAATGAATTCATTATGAAATTGGCAATCCTTTTCATTGGATAATTACACAATTGAAGACACCAGCAATTCTCTCTTTCCACATGGTTTGTTCGTGGTGCATAATAGATCCCTATGTCCACATTGAATCTATAATAGATCATAGTAAAATGTCACACAACTTTGAAGTTTGCTAAGATTATTTACCAACGGATATCTTACATTAATCTTAAGGTCTCTGTTGCACAACATGGAAGACTTGTCCATCAACAAATGTGCATTGGTCACATTTGTTGATGGACAAGTTCTTTGCCACTGTGCCTGATATAAAGCGATCTTCATTGGATGTAACTTGCTGTAAAATGATCTTTTATTATAGGAGTTGAAGGAATTGCAAGGCTAAATATAGCAAAAAGACGCTCATCAAATGATAATTGAGCTGTGTCCTGGTACTGCAAGTAAAACAATTAGATCCCAGTAAACCCAATGTGTGGTAAACCACAAGATGGTTGGGAGAGGAAAACCTACAATCCCAGAGATGTACTTTGAGGCACTTGTCTCAAGCTTTGATCAGACCACACAGCAGACTTTGCAGAGATAGCTACATGTTTAAGATGGAGGCAATGTGGGCACTGGATTTTTGGAGTGAGATTTGCATAGGACAAGATAATGTGTCAGGCCAACTTATACAACATAGTCCTCATTCTAATAGTAGAGTTATGGAGTGTGCATTAAGAAATATGTTATACAGAAGTCATTGACACCGATGATTTCAATGTTGGTCCATGACAAATTTGTGAAACAAAATATTTAACTGTTCTGGATGTAGAGAAAAGTTCCTACTCCTTACATATTTCATACAGCACAGAATCAGGATCATGGTCCAACTAGTCCATGCTAGAAGAGTAGTCGGTCCATGAAACAATGCAGAGGGGCATGATTCAAGTGCATTTGGGATATTCTCCAGATGTGAAAAGCGCTATATAAACGTAATTCTGTTGAGTATTTTTGTAATCTGAGACAACAACAGAACAGACCTATGTTAATGAGGCATCAAGTGCCTCGATGCCATAATAGACCATGGCATCACATCAACTTCATCAAAACAATTGAATATTTATGTTGCTGATGCATGTGTGTTGATCAGCACTGGAATAAACTGGCACGGTGGGTATTGACCAAAGAAAATATAATGATTAGCCTGGGTACAACAACAAACCACAGCAAATTACATTTGTATAGTGCCTTTCACGTCGGGGAGACATCTCAAGGCACTGAACAGTTAAGGAACCAGCAAAAGTGCAACACTTTACATTGATATTGATCGTTGCCTTCGGTTCCAAAACTACAAAGAACATTTGCTGGTCGCATGTTGGTGAGGCATGAGCATAAGAGCTTAACTGACTGACAGGAGAGTAAGTTAATATTAGATTATTATCCTTGATGGGGATGAGATATTGTCCTTTTGGTTGTATGTAACTTGCCTCACCGAGATGCTTGGTGTTGATTCAAATCCTGGACCTAATTTCAACAACTTATTGTTTTCAATTGTTTCATTAGAAACCCAAGGCTCAGTTATTGGCATATAGAGGGAAAGTCATTTAGAGGGTCAATCTTCCATAAATTGGTTACAACACTCCCATATATAAAAAGGTTGAGGCATAGGTCATGCTCCATGAGGAGGGTGAAAATCTGAAGCCTGGTGGAGGCATGGGCTGCAAGAAGATCTTTGACACAACTAGAGCACTATTTAAAGAAATAATACAATTCTCTAATAACAAAGATCTGTGTTAAATAGAGACAAAGACTGGAGTCTCAGAAGGATTTCTCAAACATAAGAAGTCAAGTTAAGCAGTTCTTGATGTCTTAGTGGATAATATTCCATCCAGTGTGGCATTGAGCCAAAAAGATCACCTCTGTTCAATTTTTAGTTAATGATGAGTTAGTAAATCTCAGGAGGATAATATAATAAGTTTCAATGCTGCTACACCAGAGAGAGGTGAAGAGTTTTAGAGTTTTGTGGGAACTCCACCTCACCATCCAGTGACCTCACTGTAAAGGTAAATATGAGGTGAGGATAGTACTGTGCTTTATGTTGCCTCCTGCTAACTACAAAGACTCACTGGCTAGGCTAATGAAGAAAATTGCCACTTGGCTGAGTTACTTGAGGTCTGCCAGCACGAGAGAGCCGCTTCAGCAGAGAAGGGAAGAAAAGAGAAGAAAAATAAGCACTAAAGGCAAATCGGGCTGAAACCCATGAAAACTCTCCAAGAGGGGGCAATGGTACGACACTGCAAACAGAGATGGAAGAAAACAACTTGGAAACTTGACCCCAGGACGTGATACTTCTATGACCAATATGTGAAAATTGTAAGGATTATAAGATTATTTCCTGATGAATGGGCCAATCCAGAGACATGGGGTATTGACAGAGGAGGAAGAATTCAAGTTTTCATCTACCTCAGTAGCAAGCATAGCAAAAGGAAGTTTAAAAATCAAAGGACCTAAGATTTAACTAAATTTAATGAAACAACTTTAGACTTTTAGAGAACATCAAACTTAATTTGTTTGTTATTCATTTTTGGATTCAAACACAGGAGGCAATTGATGGAATGTAAACACTTCTGGACTTCAGGCTCAACCGTTTCTGTATTTTGTTTTTGTCCATACACTACCCCAAGAATACAGCTTTTAAAAAAAAAAGCATTATGGTGTAAATTATGCACCAGAATTTAGCAGCACATTATAAAATATACAAATGTAATCTTTTTGTTGTTGTAGAGCAGCAACACACCTTTCTGTGCATTTAACTCAGACTTAGCTATCCAGCAGTTAACACTGAAAACAAAGTACATCTCTTAGCACCCTTCAAAGAGAAGCACAGGCTACAGGCAGTTTGGAGGTATTCCTCCAACAAGCATAATGTATCCATCCTTTGTGGATAAAAGAATAAAGAAGAATAAATCATAGTACAGGGTTAGGATTATTAGGTTCTATAGGAGATCTCTTTGAAAACTATTCTTCCTAGCTTCTCTCGCCAACTCTCCAAACACAGAAAGTAAGAATGAGGTCTAAAGCATGGCATTTGCAACAGGATTCATAAACACTGAATCCTGTCGGTAACTGTGTGCGTGTTGCAGCAACGTAGATATCGATCTTCAGAGCTGAGTTCCTGTGGTAATCACGTTACCCTTACAAGTAAGATTCAGGGCATCAGGATTCCCTAACAGCTTAGAAAGTACTGCTCAGCTCCAAATAACAAACTTCTAAATGATCATTAGATATAACCAATTGGGTCACTCTGAAATGTCATGTAACATTAGAAAAGCTTAAAAATGTATTATGAGTGGATGCGTCCTTGGATGGATCACAGTGAACTTTTTGTTTACAGTAGAACGTTTCAAAAGTAGTTGCAACAATTTCTAACATGAGAATCTCTGCTCCCATTGCAAAAAAAATTAAATCATAATCACACAAATTGCATTAACATTATGAAGATCAACAATATTACCGTTCCAAAATATTTACCCATTATATAAAAATACTGATCTACTCAACATTCATATTAAATATCTTTCATTTTCTGTTTATATATGGGGGGATTCATATTTAGCTGACATCTAATGATGAATGGCTAGAGAGCCAGCCAGGGTTCAAAATCCGGCATTTGCATGTGCCTGAATCTATTAATTTGATTCACAGCTGGTTTAAAACTGGCAGCAAAAGGTGTTTCATTTTGCTGTACACTAATAGGGAAGTAAACAGATTTGCGTTTTTCAAAGTGTTTTAATTCAATACAACTGCAAATTCTGTACAAAAATGAACTAGCAGTTGCTTTGGGAACAAGTACTGTTATAAATACTGAAAACTGCATTCATTAGATCAAAATATCCAGAGAAGAGACGACTCACATGGTAGAAATGTGACCTTTATCCATGAGGTCAAATAGTTTTATTGTGATTAAACACTACAATACAGTATATATCCATAAAAAACTCTATAGTGTATATAAATTATTCCTTCCATACAGCAATTCTTTCCAGTTCACCTTTGGTACAATGTGTATTTATTATAATAATTGTAATACTTTTCAGCTTCACAAACTCAACACAAAGTACAAAACTAATCAGTATCGGGGTATTACAATCTACACAGTGGTGCTCAGTGGTAGGGAGAGGTCTTACCTCAGAGAATCCATGTCAACTAGCTTAGCTACAAAGGCATCCCTTGCAGAGACATGACTAAAATGCACCAGTAACCAGCAAACTTTTTTTTAAAAATTTTATTTTTTTAAACAGAATATCAGCAGTGATCAACTGAGAACTTAACACTTTATTTTCTCAACCGACTTTCTCTTTCCTTTTTTTTTTGAAGGCCATAGTTAATATGTCCAGTAATATGTCTCAATACCACTTTCTTACTACAGAACCAGTGTCAATATTTGACCTGCCATCCAGTGCTGCTCATACTTGTACAGTTTGTTCTGCAGTTAGCAGGGATCACTGGGACATTGTTGGTGGGACAGTGGGGTGCTACCAACCTTAGGCTGTTCTGTGGGGAAGGAGGTATAACATTACAATAAACAGGCATTCCAGTGGCTGGAAGTGTTCCTTGACCTGACTGATTGGGCAGCATGATAGGTTGTTGGTAAGATTGTTGAGGCATCCCTTGAGAACCCTGGGTCATTGGCACCTATGAAAGTATTAAAAATGAAAACAGGGCATCTTAAATAACATTAACGCACAATCCATACACAGTCACATGAAACCGTTCAGCATTTCAACATATATCAGCCTTTTCAATAATGTCATTAATCCTTTCTTAATCAATAGAGAAATAGATTCGGTTTCTATTGCCAATCAAAACAGAATCCCAATCTCTTTTGAGGCAAACCTTTACTACTGTTTCTCTCTCTCTCTCTCTGACTTTCTAACATTCACTCTCTTTCTCTCCATGACTTTTTCTCTGGCTAACCCTACACAGCACAAAAATATCACCACTTTCCTTTGTATTACCTGACAAAATTGTATACATGCTGGGATGCAAATTACTCAAAACTGCACTGTGTGAATTTGCTCGATTACTAGGCACACAAGTACAAAATTATAAAATACAAAATTACATTTGTATAGCACCTTTCATATCAGAAGGACATCCCAAGGCGCTGGACAGTCAAGGATTTGGACCCAAGCTGGTAAATTGTGTTCTGAGTAAGTTAGCAACTGCATATATGGATACACAACTGAATGACCAATTCTAATCACGTTGAGATTACAACACATTCCATTTGTATAGTGCCTTTCACATCAGGCAGACGTCCCAAGGAGCTGGACAGACAGTCAGGAAAGCATAACCGAGCTGGTGGTTGGGATCAGGAGGGGTGAAGGGTAGGGATGGTAGGGGCAGGAGGGTGACTGAACGCACGGTCAAAGAGCAGGGTCTTGAGACGGGGCTTGAAGCAGGCAAAGGAGGGGGTGAGGCGGAGGGTCTGTGGGATAGAGTTCCAGAGGGTAGGGGCAAAGAGGCTGAAGGCCTACCTACTAATGGTGGGGCGGGCAAGATGGGGGATGCGAATTAGCCTGGAGCCTGCTGAGCGGAGGGAACTGACAGGTTGGTAGGGGATTTGGAGGTCACAGAGGTGGGGAGGTGCAAGATCTTGGAGGGCTTTGAAGGTGAGGACCAGCATCTTGAACTGTATTCTCTGTGTGATGGGAAGCCAGTGGAATTAGGCGAGGATGGGTTGATAGGGTCACGAAGCCTGGTGCGGGAGAGGACATGGACTGCAGAGTTCTGGATGATCTGCAGCCTGTGGAGGAAGGAGTTGGGGAGGCCAACAAGCAGTGAGTTTGCGAAGTCGAGCCTTGGATGTGATGAATGGATGGATGATGGTCTTGGCAGCCTGTGGTGAGAAACAGTGGCAGAGCCGAGCAATGTTGTGGAGGTGGGGAAATGCGGAGCAGGTCATGGCATGGATGTGGGGGATGAAGGGCAGTTGAGAGTCGAACATTTATATATGACGGGAGCCAGGCAGGAGTACCTCAGTCTTGTTGACATTCCACTGGAGGAAATTTGCTCCCATCCAGGACTTGATGTCTGACAGGCATCAAGAGGACAGCAGTGGTCCTGGAGTCAAGGGTGGAGGCAGAGAGGTAGAGTTGGGCGTCATCCGCATACATGTGGAAGTTGACCCCATGTCTGCGGATGATGGTATCAACGGGGAGCATGTAAATGTTGAAAAAGAGAGGACCAAGGACAGAGTCCTGAGGAATGCTGCCCGAGATGGTGTGGGGGCTAGAGGAGAAATGTTGAAAAAGAGAGGACCAAGGACAGAGCCCTGAGGGATGCCACATATGACGGTGCAGGGGCTGGGGATGCCATTAGTGGATATGATGAGAGAGATAGGATCACGATGAGAGAGGTAGAATTCGAATCAGGCAAGAGCAGGTCCGTGAAAGTTGAGCTGAGAGGAGAAGCGGTGGAGGAGGATAGAATGGTCAACAGTGTCGAAGGCAGCAGAGAGGTCAAGGAGGTCAAGGAGGGAGAGAGAGCCATGGTCGCAGATGGATAGAATGTCATTAGTAACTTTGACCAGGTCTGTTTCCATGCTGTAGGCAACATGGAAACCCGATTGGAGGGGATCATAGAGGGAATGGCGGGAGAAGAAAGAGCAAAGCTGGGATGTGGCGACTCGTTCCTGGGCCTTGGAGAGGAAAGAGAGGTTGGAGATTGGGCAATAGCTGGAGAGTAGTGATGGATCCAGGGATGGTTTTCTGAGGATAGGGGTGATGACTGCTGTTTTAAGAGGGGTGGGAACAGTGCCAGTGGATAAGGAGAGGTTAAAAGAGGGGCTAGATGGTGGAGCTGGGAGGTAAGGGGGATGTGGTTGGGGGAGCAGGTGGTGGGCTTCATTTTTGAGATAGTAGAGGTTTACAACAACAACAAATTGCATTTATATAGCGCCTTTCATGATGGGAGGACATCCCAAGGCGCTGGAGGGGGAAGGGTTTGCACCTGAATTGGGGGTTGGAATTAAGAGGGATGGAGGGCAGAGGGGGAGGGGTTGGAAAGGTGACCGAAGGCATGGTCAAAATAAAAGGTCTTGAAACAGGCCTTGAAGGAGGTGAAGGAAGGGATGACGTGAAGGTGGTCCTGGGTGTGGGAGAAGAAAGACTGTAGACCTGACTACCGATGGTGGAACGTGCAGGGCAGGAGATATGGAGCAGGCGAATGCCCCCGGAATGAGCGAAAGGAGCGGACGGGTTGATAAAGGTTTAGTAGGTCTTTGAAGTAGGGAGGATGAGGATCTGGAATTCTGTCCTCTGGGGTATGGGGAACCAGTGAAGCCAGGTGAGAATAGGGGTGATCGGGTCACGGAGCTTAGTGCGGGAGAGGACATGAGCTGCAGCGTTCTGAATAATCTGCAGCTTGTGTAGGAAAGAGTTGGAAAGTCCGATGAGCAGGGAGTTTGTGTAGTCAAGCCTAGACCTAAGGAAGACCTGGATGAAAATCTCATCGAGGCGAGCAAAGTTGTGGAGGTGGAGTCCTGTAGCTCAGTGGTTAGAGCACTGGCCTCACAAGCGATAGACCTGGGTTCAATACCCAGCAAGACAAAATGTTGGGAAAGTTTCCTTACTCCACATGCCTCTGTTTACCCAGCAGTAAGTAGAACCCGCTTGTTAGTTGATTGGCTGATCACTTTTCCGGGGATAATAATTCCTTCAAAAAATAAATAAATAATCAATTGGTCACTTCAATCATGATGGTTTGCGGGACACTGCTGTGGGTAATTGGCTGCCGCGTTTTGCCCACAAGATATAGTCAATCCACTTTACAGTATATTCTATGAAGCATTTTAAGACATGATAAGGTGCTATATCAAATGCAAGGATTATTATTCATAGATGGGGTTTAAAAGGCAGTTGAAGGTCGAACAAGACACCAAGGGTCCGTATTGGTTCAGTGAGGTGGAGATTGCATCCGTAAATAGTGATGCTGTGAGCGCCTGAGGTGAGGAGCCAGGCAGGAGGGCCTCAGTCTTGTCGATATTTAACTGGCTGTCATCCAGGACCTTGGCAGGCATTCTGTTAGGACAGCAGTGGTCCTGGAGTCGAGGATGGAAGCAGAGAAATAGAGTTGAGTATTATTCGCACATATGTGGAAGTTGCCTGCAGTTGATATCCCTGAGTGGGAGCATGTATATATTAAAAAGGATAGGACTGAGTCCTGGGGAATGCTGAATGCAATGATGCGAGGACTGGAGGAGAAGCTATTGGTACATACAAAGTGGAGACAAGGCGAAGGGTAAGACCGAAACCAGGCAAGCACAAAGCAATCAAGGTGGAACTGAGAGGAGAGGCGATGGAGAAGAATAGAGTGGTCGACAGTGTCAAAGGTGGCGAAGAGATTGAGAAGGATGAGGAGACAGAGAACGCCCTGGTTACAAATGGCCAGAATATAATTTGTAACTTTGACTAAGGCTGTCTTTGTTCTATGGACAGGATGGAAACCAGATTGGAGAGGTTCTTAAGAGAATGGGGAGAGAGGAAACAGCAAAGCTAGGAAGCAATGGCTCCTTCCAGGACCTTGGAAAGAAAGGGAAGGCTAGAGATGGGACTGTAGTTTGAGAAGAAAGATGGGTCAAGGGAAGGTATTTTGAAGGTGGGGGTAATAATGGCTGTTTTTAAGATGAAGGCAACAGTGCTAGTTGACAGAGAGAACTTCCCAATGCCAATCACAACTAGTAAGAATAGAGTGGGGAAGGCTACCCTCCTCTCAAGATGCGCTTTGGGATGTCCTCCCGATGTGAAAGGAGCTATATAGGTATAAACTGTATTTATGGTACTACTGTGGGCCATGTAAATGAGGACTCCTTCTGGTATCCAGAAGCATATCACAACAACTCAGAGAAACCATTCCGTTGCTTAAACATCACAGGAACCGCAGACCCTTTTGTGTGATTTCATGCTCATAAGTCGTGATTTTGGAACATTTTTACAAGGTATTATACAAGATAGAAATGGAGCTGCGGGACACTGAAAAGTAATCAAGCTTAGAAAAACAGATCTACACATATTCGATACTCTGCCCATGTACAACAGAGAATATCTTGCTCTGTTCTGTAAGTAGATTGCATCACAGTGAAGTTCTAATGGGTCAGTATAATGTAGTTCTCATTACGAGAAGAGAAATCCTCAATTACATGACTTGGATTCCTTAAAAAGAACTGGAAATATTTCTTCAATCAACATGAAGGCAAAGACGCGACATATTGCACCTTAGTAACACTGTTGAACTGTGCTCCAAAATTTCTATTGATCTGTGGAATCCGACAAGATCTAGTGCATGGACCAGGATTATTTCTGATCTTGGCTGTTCAATTGTGAGCTAGTCATATTTACCTAGGAACATAAGAACAGGAGGAGGCTGTTCAGCCTTTCAAGCCTGTTCCGCCATTTAACTAGATGATGGCTGATCTGTAACCTCAACTAATCCTAACACTATTTTCAGACAGAGAATGCAGCAAAAAATTTGCAGAAAGATCTAGTTTGGTTATGCAACTGGGCATGCACATGACAAATGAAATTTAAAACTGAATAAATAAATTAAATTAGAGCATTAAACTTTGAAAGTGACTTAGAAATAATAATGAACACGTCAGATTCAATGCCCAGATAGGCTGAACGATAGATTACGAATCTACACTAGTTATGCTGGATCTTTACAGTCTAGTAAGCAGCTGTTGAGAAAAGGCAAAGCAATTCTATTACTTTAGGTGAACAAAGAAAATAGGACCAGAGAACATGAATGAAAATTAGTGAATATAAATATATCAGGAAAATATTCTTTACTCTTGTCAAAAATGCTTTGAATAATCCAATAAGCAAATTAACAGATTCAAAAACCTCAAGGTTATTCAAAATACAATTAGATGTCATGATGGGAATAGTTAATGTACTGGAGGGATGAAAATTGGAAGGCTAATTGGTGGCTTTTCACATTCTTATATTTTTATGTTCTAATATAGAAATGTGAAAACCGCAGAAGCAATTGAAACAAAGGCAGGATTTTTTAGTGTTTGGAAGAAGAAATCAAAGATCAACCATCAAATTGAACCTTTTTATGTTTACTAGAAAGCTAGACTGCTGTTTTGCCCTGAGATTTATCTTTGTCAACTGGGCATACTACAAGCCTTTGGCAGATAGCCAGCACATTATTGCTTCATCTTTCACATACAGCAAGGCCACTGTTGCTCACTTAAGCTTCCCAGCAGTGCATTCTGAGTTGATCAGAATGGCTAGATATGTGCTCTCTCTCCCTTCTCTCTATGATTGATGGATTAAATACTAATCATTACACAAAGTGGTTGGAGTGGAATTTACCAGGTCATATTATTCTTCACTTCTGTTAGCTTTGCTAGTTGTAGTTCATCTTCACAGAATTTAAATCTATAAAACATTACATTTTGCTGTATTAATGGAATAATTTGAAGTGATTGGGAATAGAAGTTTCTCTTACTCTCTAAGCAGAGGTGGATTATTGTACTCTATTGATAGTTTTGCTTCTTGTAGTTTACCTTCATACAATTAATCTATAAAACTGCATTTTCCTGTTTTAATGCAGTAATTTTCCCCATAGCTTTCAGAACTCTCTAAACAGCTTCAGATTGATAGAGTAAAGGCTAGACATGAGGGCTTCACATAACAACCTACTTGATAAGACGACATGGCTGGATATTGGACCATCACACCTTGAACCTGATTTCCCTGCTGATTGTTCAACAGATTCTGATTCTGGGGCGACTGTTGCACTCCCATTAGGCCTTGGAATCCTTGCTGCTGAGTAGGCAAGACAGGCTGAAATCCTGGAAGCAGAAAGAGTTTGGCAAACAACATGCTTTAATCAAGTCAATCTCACCTTCAAATGCACATTAGAAGGTCGATATTATACTCGTACATAATCTGTGATTTTGCCTGACAGAAGAAACGATTTGACTGGCGTACAAAAAGGCAGCTACAGTAGTAATCAAGCTGTCTGCTGCTGAGGATTACAGCAATTAAAACAATGATGGTATGTTTAAGATGCTTCAAACTCAGGGTCTCTTCCAAAGAGCATCACAAGCAAACACGTGCACCCCCAATTAACCCATTAGTATCTGGTGGAAGATTTGTCTGAATTTGAGGGAAGCTGCCCAAGCAATTCAGTTCTGACATATCAATTTCCACTGTATAATAATAATCCTTGATTTGTCATAGCGCCTTATCACGTCTCCGAGACGTCTGAAAGCGCTTCACAAAATATATTGTAAATTTTATGGGCAAAATGTGGCAGCCAATTGCGCACAGGAGTGTCCTACAGTCGTGGATTGAGTGACCAAATTATTTTTTTTTGAAGGAATTATTATCCACGAAAAAGCGATCCGCCAATCGACTAATGATCGGGTTCCTACTTACGTGTGGAGTAAGGAAACATGCCCAATGTTAAATACTCTTTATTGTCAATTACCATGTCTGTTCAGGCGGATGTTAAAGGTCCCATGCCCCTTTCTAAAAGACAAGGGAGTTTCTACCGGTGTCTTGGACAACAATCTTCTAGAGAAAATTGGTCATTTACTTCATGGCTGTTTGTGGGACACTGCTCTGTGCAAATTCTCTGCTGTATTTTGTGACAAATAAGCAGTCACTACAGTTTATAATAATTCCTGTGGAACACTTTGAGACAATGTAAGAAGGAGCCTCATCAAATGCAAGAATTTTTAAAAATTATTATCCCAAACATTGATCAATGTCCCACAACTTTCCCTCAATAACTACAAACTTTCCCCAATACTCACTACCTCCCCTCAATACCAACAAACTTCCCCCAATATCCACAATCTTCCCCCAAATACTATGAAACATCAGCACCATCATGAAAAGCATACGTTAAAAATATGCTTGTCATGGTTTAGCAATAAACAGTTCTGGACCCAGTTAAGGAACTTCATTTTCAAATTTTTTACATTGGAAGGACATCACAAGCGCTGGACAGTTGAGGGTTTGCACCTGAGCTGGGAGCCAAGAGAGGTGAGGGTAAGGGAAGAAGATGACCCAAAGCACGGTCAAAGAGGAGGATTTTGAGACAGACCTCGAAGCAGGTGAGTGTCGGGATGAAGCGAAGGGTTCTCCAGGATGGCGCTCCAGAGAGTGGGGGCAGATTCGCCAGTGAAACAGGCCAGTGCCTGCAGAATGGAGGAAGTGGGCAGGTTTGTAGTGTTTTAGAAGTTCTCAGAGGTAACATGGAGCAAGATTGTGGAGGTATTTAAAAGCGAGGACCTTAAACTCAATCCTCTGGGGGAAGAAAAGCAAGGAAGATGGTGATAGGCTTGTGGAGCCTTGTGCAGAAGAGGAATGAGCTGCAGAGTTCTGGATAGAGTGGAGGAAGAGTTGAAAAGTCCAGCGAATAAAGAGTTGGTGGTGTAGTCAAGCTTGGATGTGATGAGTGCTTGGATAAGTGTCTCAATAGCCTGAGGGGAAAGATAGTGGTGGAAGGAAGGGCAATGTTGCAGAGGTGGGGAATGCTCAACTGGACAGACCAGCAGTGTCCTACAGTCGGACATACCACAGATGTGGGATTCAAAGGATAGTTGAGAGTCAAACAAAACACAGATATTCCTTGCTCGTTCTGTGAGGTGAAATGTGCATCCGTGCAGGTTGGTACTGTCAGTGCCTGAGGTGAGAAAGGCATTGATAGGAACCAATTTACACGTATATTCCTAGTGCATTGAATAGGTTTTTGCTTTCTTATGTTGAATAAAAGCCTTAACAAAAGAGAATTAATTAGATACACAGCAATTGAATGTCTACATAAGATATCATGCAGCATATGTTCTACAAACGTTCATTCATGAAGAATTGCGTGCCTGCAGTATCTGAAAATATTTTCATGCTCTACATGCTGGTAAATGAAAATATTTATTCTATAACATTTATTTAATCAAAACTGGGTAACCTATGATTCCTTTTTTCAAATTTTTACATGTGTCAAAGATGTAGAATATTAATAATAATTCTTGCTTTTGATGTAGCGCCTTATTACGTCATTTAGATGTCTCAAAGTACTTCATGGAACATATTGTAAAGTGAAATGGCCAAAAATAATAGGAATAATAAGAGAACAATGCTGGTTTTTGAATCTACCCAGCTGAGAAATACCATTTTCCATTACATTTGCTCCCAGGAAACATTTGATGGGAAGTGAGGAAAAACATGAATTCTAAGTGCATTTAATGTTTCAGTATTTGATAAGAAAGAAAATCACACTTCTTCCAAAGAAGCAGCCCCATCATTCATTTCAATTTCAAATTACTTCAAGTAGAACTTATAAAAGGTTATTAAATGTCTCTTGAGAAGAGGTCTAAATGGGGGTTATTTCTAATGGATTTAATGAGCTGCTGTGTTACTAAAAGCTGCAGGGCTTTGCTTTACCACTATCATTTAATTCTACCAGTCAGTGTGCACATTTCCCCACAGGAGAGACATTTTTATACAAGTTCAAGAAGCATCCTGGATTCCTGAAGGTTATATCAGAACACTGAATTCAAATGTAGACCTTGTAATAATAAAAGGTGTAGAGACTGGCCTGACAGTCACCGTTTCTAAGGGTCCCTCTTAAACTCAAGCCGGTTTGTCCTTTGATTCACATGTCACGCTCTTCGTGGATGAATTCTACACGTACCCTTTTAGTAGGGTAGATGACAATTACTTGAATAAGAAGAATATAGTAAACCTCACCTAAGTTGAATCAGTTGGGACAAAACATTTAATACGACTCATGCAATGTATGAGTTATGTCAAACTTATATGACTAATGTCAAGTTATGTATAAGTTGGATTTTATATGAGTAACCCATAATAAATACAGTACACAAGTACTGAACTGGCTGGTGACATTCAGGCATTCTGTACTATGTTTAACCCATGCATAATGACAACAACATTACATATGTAAAATACATTTCACGTCGAGAGGACGTCTCAAGGCGCTGGACACACAGAGTTACAGACCTGAGCTGGGGGTTCGGGGGGGGGGGGGGGGGGAGATCAGGGGGGCAAGCAGGGAGATCGAAAGCACAGTCGAAGAGAACGGTCTTGAGATGGGTCTTGAAGGTGGCGAGGGAGGGGGCGAGACGGAGGGACTGCAGGATGGAGTTCCAGAGGGTAGGGGCAGAGTGGCGGAAGGCCCGCCCGCCAATAGTGGGGCGAGCAAGGCGGGCACCGTGAAACAGACCAGAGCCCACTGAGCAGAGGGAGCGAGCAGGATGATAGAGGGTTAGGAGGCCGCAGTTGTAGAGGGGAGCAAGACCATGGAGTGCTTTGAAGGAGAGGACCAGGATCTTGAACTGTATCCTCCGTGTAATGGGAAGCCAGTGGAGTTAGGCAAGGATGGGGGTAATAGGATCGTGGAGCCTAGTGCGGGAGAGGATATAATAAAACTATGAAAGACCATTTTTTCCATATACACTACAGCGCAGTACTGCACCTCACGTGCAGAAAACATGTACTATTCAACGAATGGCACAACCAAACAGGTTTCAAACCAAAACTGTGCAGTTGCAACTTTATGAGTTACTGGTGCATTTAAAATTAAGTGGGTTTAATAGGAAATTGACGGGACCTGGGCAGATGTACAACTTAGGTGATTATACAATTTATATAGATCAGACATCTGCGAGTTTTATTATGTAAAAAGGCATGTGGAAAAACGAATAACCACTTGCTGACAACCAATCGCAGAACATACAATGCCAAAAATGTTAATCTAGCTAGTCTAGACTCTCTATGTCTCAAACGACATTCTCTCTATCTGTGACCAGGGCTCACTTTGCCTCCTCGTCCTCCTGGATTTCTATGCAGTGTTCGACACAAGTCGACCACACCATCCTCCTCCATCGGCTCTCCTCCCTCATCTACCTTATCGGGACCGCACTCGCATGGTTCGAGTCCTATTTAACCAACCGCCTCCATTTCATCTCAGCAAATGGTTTCTCCTCCTGCCCCCACCCGGTCACCTGCGGAGTACCCCAGGGCTCCATTCTTGGCCTCTTTTTCTGATGTATATGCTCCCTCTGGGCAATATCATCCACAGATGCAGGATAAACTTCCACATGTATGTGGATGACACACAAATCTACTTTGCCTCCTCCAGTACCAACTCCAGGTCCCCCGATGTTCTATCAGCTTGTTTGGCAGACATCAAGGCCTGGATGAGTGCAAACTTCCTGTAGCTGAATATGGACACGACGGAAGCCATACTCCTTGGCTCCCGTCAATGTCTTCACTCCTGCGGATCTAAACTCCTCAACCTCTCTGGGTTCTCCCTCAGCTTCACCAAACTAGTATGCAACCTAGACGTCTGGTTCAACCCCCAGCTTCCTCCCCACATGTGGTCCCTGACCTGGACTGCTTCTTCCACCTCTACCACATTGCCCACCTCCGACCATACCTTACCCCAAATGCAGCCCAAACCCTCGTGCATACGTCTGTCGCCTCCCACTTGGATTAATCCAACACACTCCTCGCCGGTCTCCCCAGCTCTACCATTCAAAAGATCCAGCTCATTCAAAACTGCCCGCACATAATGATCCAGACCAAACTTCGTAACCACATCTTACCAGTTCTGGCCAGGCTCCACTGACTCCCCATCACCGAATGGACTGACTTCAAGATCCTCACACTCGTGTTCAAATCCATTCACTCCCTGGCACCTCCCCACCTCTCCAACCTCCTCACTCTCAATTCACCACCTGGCTCCCCACTCAACTGGCAGCGGCCTCCTGCTCATCCCTCGCACCCTCTGCCCCACCATCGGAGGTTGTGCGTTCAG